AATTTAATCTTTTTCATGGGCAGTGCTGGTAAATACAGCAAATCAGTGCAGGTTTTTCTGCTCTAGAATATGGTGAAAAAAAGGCATGGGTGATAGTAGCTTTGTCAGTGGAGCTATAAGTCAGCTAAACTAGTATATCACAACAAAAGTAGAGCTTCATGACTTGCAAAAATATGGCACACGGAATGCCAAAATTTTGATATAGAAAGTGATATAGAAAGTGTCATTGGAAATGTAAATCGTAAACATACGATTCTCTGCGGGAGAGCAGTCAGAGTCGTTACCCTGTGCTCTACGTCAGTGTGGTTATCAGACGAGTATTCTCTTACCACGAATAGAACTGGAGTCAAAGAGACAAATAAGAGTACGTTTTTTTATAATTGAGAACGTGCTTTAACTACGAGAGAGATTCACATTCGATCAGCATAAAAAACAAACGGTTTCATTCATCATCACGATTCTTTTATCTTAGGCTGTCATTTACATGCTTCTCATCATTTTTATGAAAGATGCAGAGTTATTCAGAGGTTATTTTAGCTAGTTCAAGCAACTTAAGGGATTAAACGCTAGGACGCTAATAAGCTTAAAAATATATTATGATAACAAACTCAATACAAAGACTCCAAGCTACCACCATAAGAAAGTTTTGTCTGTGTTTGGATCTATGGCAGCACAAAAGCTAAGGGCGATGTCTAATTTAGATATCACCAATGCTCCGATGATGCTACAGTCTATGTATCGAAATGCTTCGACAATAAACTGTCTACCATCTGTTGTATTTGGTGCCCTGAAACACTAATCATTCAGACGCCTATCTATATAACTATAGGCTCAGAATCAATAACCTGAAGCATTACTCACTAATATTTAACTCACATAATACGTTTTGACATATTATTGCCAACGACAATTTCACCTAAAATAAAGAATTTTCAAACTGAATTTATTAAACAGTTGACGCTGAACATTTTTATATTAAAATTGTTGACTTGTAAACCGAAATTCCATCGGTTGTTGTGTTCGCTTTTCATCTCTGGCGAAAGAGCTGTAAGAATTATAATTATAAATTTCCAATCGACGTTCTCTTCGATACGTCAGATGCACTTTCAACCTCGTCCATCAATTCAGAACAACGTCGTAACGTAATTGCAGTGATTCTGGACTTCATCGTTGCCTAACTAGAAGAAAATCGATCAAAGCATGTAACGATTATAGATTGAGAGCAAAAACTGTTTTAGCGTCAGCAGGTCTTGTTGTAAAGACTGAAATATTTGCATGAAATATGAGGGCTATATTTACCACGGTTGCTAGGAAAGGAACTGAAAAGCGGCGATATAGGCACAGAAAAAATTTAGATAAACTGTATGATTTTTGCGTTAAGTAGATTTAGTGTTTTGAAGACATCAATCTTCTTAACCAAAGCTGCAGAGAATTTAAAACAATTTTTCTTCATATAACCGCAGATCGGTCAGTCCTACTCATTAATCAGCAGAATAAAGCAAAAGTTTTACTCGTTATCCGTCAATTACTTTGGAGCAAAAAGAGACTACGTTAACCAGAACATTACATAGAGCACAGCTTAAAAAATTATAAGGAAACTATCATATCTTATCCATCGCGTTAAGCGAAATTTCAGTTAAAA